ACTGTCCCGAGAACTGCTGTGCGCCCCCCTGCTGTGCCCCCAGCTGCTGTGCCCCCAGCTGCTGCGCCCCGGCCCCCAGCATGACCCTCGTCTGCAGCCCCATGAGCTGCGGGTCCTGCTCCCCCTCCTGCTGCTCCTGCTCCCCCTGCCAGCCGGCCTGCTGCACCCCCATGTGCTGTAAGCCCGTGTGCTGCACCCCCATGTGCTGCACCCCTGTCTGCTGTAAGCCCATGTGCTGCACCCCCATGTGCTGCACCCCCGTCTGCTGTAAGCCCATGTGCTGCACCCCCATGTGCTGCACCCCCATGTGCTGTGGGGGCTCCCCGTGCCAGGCCCCCTCATGCTCCCCCTGCTGCAAACCCTCGTCCAGCATCTCCCTCATCTGCCAGCCCGCGTGCCCGCCCGCCTGCCCGCCTGGTTGCTGCCAGGGGTCCAGCATGTCCCTGCTGTGCCAGCCTGCCTGCAAGCCCTCGTGCTGCTGCTGATGCCGCCTGTTGGGCCTCGCTGTGCCCTGCCCTGCCAGCTGTGTGCCTGCCTGCCTACTGTGTCTGCTTTCGCCCACATTTTGCTGCCAACGAGGCATGGCCCTGGAGCAGCGGGCCCTGCTAGTGATCCCAGGCCAGAGGTGACCCCACAGTGGCTGCCCCCGCAGATGGGCACCCTGCGCCTGCCCCGTGTTGACCTGGCCTCCTGCTCCCGGCACCTCAACCTTGTGCTCCCCGGCCCCTGCATCCTGGCAGCTGGACCTCCTCGGGGCCCCTGTCCTGGCTGCAACTCTCTCTGCCAGGGTCGCTGGGCTCTACTCCATCCTGCCAGCCCCCCTTCAGACCCCCAATAAACTCTCTGAGCCTGATACTATGTGTCTGATTGTGCTGAGGTGTGGTCTGTCCCCACAGCTGGCAAGTCCTGGGGAGGGAGAACGGACACACTGGCCGCTGCGTGTCTGACCATGCTGGGGTGTGGGCTGAACTGCCCAGCTGGTGCATCCTGGGGTTGGGGAGCCCCAGAGCATGTGGCCAGACTCTTGAGTAGGACTGAGTGGTCAGGCATCATGGATAGGGGGTGCAGGATTGCCCAGCCCGCCCCTTGTAGGTGAGTGATGGTCAGGGCCCAGGAGCTCCTCGGTGCCACCTGGGCACACCGACCCGGACCCCCCTCCAGAGGGTAGTGGAGGGGGGGCAGCACGGGCTCTGGGCCAGGACCCCAGACCCCCCCACCGCGATTCTTCCTGAAGCACCTTGGCTTCTGGGAAAGGAGCTTGTACTGGGGTGTGACACCAGCACCTTGCCCCTCCTCGGGGCCTGTGCTGTCCATAAGACCCACCCCAGAGTCAGGTCTGTGTACTCCAAGGGGAGGACAACCCTATACTCCAACACGGGGACAACTCTGGTTTCCAATGACACGCATGTGACATGGGCAGAAGGCTCTAGAAGGCTGCCCGCATGGGGTAGGCGGAGCTACTGCAACCTGTGGTCACTATACCTGTCTATCTTTCAAGGGGCTGAGTGCCATCCCTAAGGCAGCCTCGCACCCAGAGCCGGCCACAGGGCTCTGTCCTACCCACGCCCTCAGTCTGGCTTTCTCTCGAACCCCCCTGCCCCACACAGCTTCGTGGGTTCAGCCAATGAGCTCCCCTAGTTGCCATCTCGTGTGTCTGGAAAGGTCGGCTTTCCACCCCCATTGTGCTGTGCCGGGGGGTCACCGATAGGCAGCCTCCATGGTCTGTTTTTCTTCCGTGTGGCCAGAGCCCACTAATGTACCTGTGTTCCCTGGAACATCCCGCCATCCCCTCTCTGCCCTCTCACTCACTTTCCAGGGCCACACCTTCTGGGCCGGGCCTGAGTCGGTCCTGGCACAGGGCAGGGTAGGGCAGGGTGGAGCGGGAGGGATCTCAGGATGCTGGGGACGAACATGGGGCCATGTAATGCCAGGCAGGGGTTGCATGCTGAGCCACCACCCCCAGCTTCTCAGTTTAACCAGCTGACATCTTTCCTTCGGGTTAAATCCCATTAGCCAGATTTTCCTCGATGGCTCTATCTGGAAACTTTTGAGATCTGGTCTAGGGCCTTTGCCTGCCCCAGGGCACTGACCACCAGCTTCGGCCTCAGGATCACAGCTGAGTATTCAGGGCTGCTTTGAATTTTGCTATTTTATTTTGTGGGGAGTGTGGTTTGGGGGACACACCCAGTGGTGTTCAGGGCTTACTTCTGCCCTGTGCCCAGGAGTCTCTTCTGGTGGGACTCAGAGGACCATACCTGATGCCTGGGATCAAACCCAAGTTGGTCATGTGCAAGGTAAACGCCCTTCATGCTGCCTGAGAAACTGCGTAAGTGATATTGCAGTGGACCGGACTGGCCTGTTGCACCCCCAACTCAGCCCATACATCCTGATGCTAAGCAGACTCAGCCCCCAGGACTGGGGCTTCAAGGCACCCCCACTGATTCTCACAGCCATCACTCAGGCCAAATGTGACCTGTGGAGTGGCCGACCCTACTCAGTAGGGTCAGGCCTGCCATAACGTGTTTGGCTGTGCCCCACTAGCATCCCTACTCAGAAGACCGGAGTCATGGCTTCCCGGCCCCGCTCCACCCAGCAGCGTCTGTTCTGAATCCACTCCTGTCTCTCCGCTGTTGTGCATCAAGGTCTCTCCCTAGGCACAGCCCTGCCAGCCTGTGTGCAGGTGGGCTCTGCCCTCTGTGTGCAGGTGGGCTCGGCCCTTGGACGCCTTGCGCACACCCCCCTGCTCCGTACAGCACTCAGGAGCCCACTTGCATGGCCACGGGCTCCTGCAGGGACATTAGAGGACTGCTTCCACTCACCGGGAACTTGGGGCTCTGGGCTGGGCCGGACCAAGACCCGTGATGCTCCTGGGTGTTGAGAGCTCTTGAGCCTTTTGTCTGTCAGACAGGCTTCGCGGGCACCTGTGGAAGGGCCCCTCTGGAGGAGTTCGGTGGTCCAGGTTGGGGTGCTGCAGGGCTGGGGACTGTGTGGGACATCAGGATGCTGCTGCAGCTGCATATACAATGGGAAGGGGGAGAAGGGACAGCAGATGGGGTGCAGGGTTTTTTTCTGAATAAAGCTATCGGGTGTCCGATTGGACAGCCGGGTACTTCCCATGTATCTGATTGGCCAGTGCTCTCAGGCCACGGCACCTCCCAGGCGTTCCATTGGCCAGCGCTCTCAGGCAGGACTGTGTTGGAGCCGAGAACCTGGCAGGTGCAGTGCTCGGGGCTCCCTAGTCGCTGCCCCACGTGCTTTTTCCCTGCCTGCACATGTGGGCACCCTCCCTTCCCCAAGGAACATCAGCTGTGATGCCCCCCAGAGCCCCTCGAAGCTGTGAAGATCCCCTGTGCAGCAGGGTCACCGCCGGAGACCAGGCCTGGGACAGCAGGGACGGTGCTGGGCCCTCTCGGGGGTGGCTCAAGATGGGCTGCACCCCGGTCCCCTGCCCGCCTGACACTGTCAGTAACTGTCAGCCGCACCCGGCAATGACCCGCCTCTCACGCTCCTCCTTGGCTGGGGCTTGGGTGGGTGTGGGTGGTGATGCTCCCCCTGTCTGCGGAGAGTCCCACAGAAGCCGTGGGGGGTGGCAAGTTGTGGTGAAGCGGACGCGTTACCTCGATACCAGATGGAGCAGAGGATGTGTGGGGTGGGCTGGTAGCATAGGGGCCAAGGGGAGACCTGCACCCCTTCCTGCCTGTGAAGTGAGGGGGCTAGGGAAGGGTGCCCCCAGCCTGGCTGGCAGCTGGCCACTCTCCACTGGGGCCCAGGAGACCCCTGTAGCTGCCTGCTGCTGCACTCATCCCAGCACTGGGGGATGGAGGGGCTCACGGCACCCCTTCCCCTCTGGCTCTGGTCCTGGCTCCTCCAGAATCCCCATGAGCCACAAGACCCTCAGCAGGTGGGAAGCAGGTTCAGCAGGCACTTTTCCTTGCATCCTCTCTCTTGTGGGTCTGCGTGTGCCCCCACACCCTGATTTTCGGGCTGTTCTGCCCTCACCCCCAAGGGCTGAAGTGGAGATAGCTTCTAGTTTCTCAGGCGCTGCCTCCATCAGCCCCACCCTTTCCTGCCTCCCCAGTGGAGCTCCTGGCTTTTGGGTTTCTTTGAACCTCCAAATGCGGCCAATTAAGTTAATTGATTGTCTGAGCCTCTCATTCCGAAACAATTACTGAGTGGCAGGAAATGGCAAAGGGGGTGCCGGAGGCCCTGGTCCTGCTCATGGAGGCCTGTGCGCACCCCTTTCCTGGCGCTGGGCTGAGGGTCCTAGGTCTGGGTGGGGAGCAGGTGGGTCAGTAGTTGGGTGAGTGAGAGGGACGCCCCGCTGAGGGGGGGCAGGAAGTCCCAGCTCCCCAGTTGGGGAGACCTGCCATGGCTGTGCTGGTCCAGCGCAGCTGGGTGCCAGGGCTGCCCAACTCTGTGCATAGACCCCAGGGTACCCCCTCCCCAGCCCCATGAACTTGGAAGACAGGATCATGGCACCTCCCAGCCTCCAGGTCAGATGCCGCCTCTGGGCCTTGGTTTCCACACTGGATGGGGGAGGTGTTGCCAGGCAAGGTGCAACCTTGTGAACCCCACACTTGGCGGGTGAGGGCAGGAAGGGCCGCTTTAATTAAATGGGCGGGGATTACACTAGATTAGCAGTGTTGGGGAACCCCAGCTGGTAATGGACCCTAATTGCCGTGCCTGGGGCTTGGCCAGGCTGAGACTCGTTCTGGAAGATCCCATCACCGAGCCTCGGGTGCCCACGGCTTCCTGGCGCTCCGGGGAGGCTGTGCCCCAGGAAAGGGTCCGGGCATGGAGGGATTCCTGCCGGGTGGAGGGGTCTCTGTCCCCCAGAACCCCCAGAAGTGCCCCGCTATGCCCTTTCCCCACCCTGGCCAGGGCTTGGGGTCGACTCTGGAAGGTCAGGAGGGCCCCACTGCCCAGCACCACCCCTACCCACTGACGCACGTTTTATGGCTGATTGTTCTGGAATGACCCCTGTGTGCTCCCTAACACAGACCTGCGCCCCCTGGACATCCTGGCAGAGGCGGTCTCCACGCACAGCGCCACTGATGCCGTCAGGACACTGCAGGCCCAGGGAGTCCGGGGACTCCAGCTGGCCTCCAACGCCCCCCACGCCCTGAGCTTCCCGGCATCAAGGATTTTCTCCAGGTGCGATTTCTTTCCAGAGGAGTTCTCCATCGTCATCACCTTGAAGGTCCCCAGCCTGCTGCCCAAGGTCAGTGGCATTTTGTTCACACATTGATTCATTGATCCATGTAGCCAGCAATGCTCACAGGGGCCTGCACACCGCCCAGGCTCTGCACCCACATGATCTGAGATGGGTACACAGGGTGGGCAGACTGGACACCCATGTTGCTAGGGGCCCCTCCCCTGGTAAGTGCCATCACTGAGCTTACAGGGCTGGGCAGTGCTGAGAGAGTGGTGCTTGGTACCCCTGGAGGGAGCACACCCTAAGGTCCAGGACCTGCTTCTTGGGGTGCTGCCCGTGCCCCAGTGACAATGCCTCCTCTCAGAGGGAGGACACGGGGGAGTCTGTCACCCTTCCCCAGGGGCTTAGCAGAGGAGACGAAATCCAAGCGTGCTGGGTGGAGTACACCACTCCTGCCTAGAGCAGCATGTGTTTGGGGTACCCAGGCCCTGCCCGGTTAGACGTGGACTCTCCCCCACCGGGTGTGGGGGAACTCCTAAGCTGTGCTTTGGAGGTAACTTCTGGTCATACCCAGACAGCAGGTAGGGGTTCATTGTGATACCAGGGATCTGGGGGGGTCACACCAGGAGTGCAGGGGACTCAGGCATGCAGAGCCCTCACTCCCTCCATGCCTCTGCCAGTGCCATTTGGCACTGAATCCTGTCAGGTGGATGCGGCACTGTGACTCTCTTCAGGTGCATGTCAGTGCAGCCGGTCTGTCTAGGCTGTCTGCCCTTCCAAAAGCCTGGAGCCACAGCCTGGATGCAAGCATATAGCCCGGGACTTGTGGACGGTTGTGATGGTCTCGGGTGCTTGGTTGTGGGCCACAGAATACGGTGGTGGGGGGGGGTACCACTTCCCTTGGGCCCAGGGTTCCTGTCACTCCAGCCCTGCCGTGACCTTGCACTCAGGTGGAGTCAGCCTACTCGAAGGGGGCTTATTCTGGCGTCAGTGTGTCCCTCAGATCTCTTGGGGCTGGGCAGCCCTACCCCGCCCTCCTACACTGTCTGGCCCACTGTACTTGGTGCTGAGTTTTGAACTTGCGAAGTGGGAGTCCTCAAACAATTTTCTTTTTAAGGTGTGACTGTCCTGGGTCCCTGACCATTCACTGTGCATTTCCAGATCCTCTCGCACTGTTATTCAGAAGGCCATGTGGGCACAGAGGTGGCATGAATATGCTGTCTTACCTTCTCATCCTCGACCCCAGATGTCCCTTTGAATGACACATGTTTTCAGTTTTCAGGGCTGCCCACTGTTCCTCCGCCCCTAAGGCTGTGAGGGGCTGGGCATGTCTGCGTCTTTGGACACTGTGCCACTGTGCTCCCCTAAGCCCTTTCCTGGGGCCTTCCTCTCGTTGAGGGGCACTGAAGAAAGCTGTCCTGGCCTCGTGTTCTTTGTCACGACTCAGTTGTTCCTGAGCATCTTTATTCTTCCAGCCCTGTTTCTCAGCGCAGTTTTGTTCTGCCTAGTAGCGTGTTGGTCTTCATTCCTCTCTGGAATTTGTGTTTTCGCCTCAGGTTTAGCAGTGGGTGCTGCATGGCGGTCCATGCCCTGCTCCCCGTGGCCACGTGGGTGGCAGTTGGTCCCCTCCCCAGGCTAGAGAGCCACGTAGTACACCATTTTCTACTCTGTCCTCTCCCAGTTCCCAGCCACTGGCCAGCACACAGTTCTGGGTTAGGTGGGGTACGTGGATGTCTCCTGGTCACGGTTGAGCCATCTGCTGCCCCTCCTTATGTTCACTGCTGAATGGGGGTGAAGGAGGTGAGAGCACGGGCACACGGCACCTCATGGACCTTGGCTGTCACTGCATTCATAATTGTAGTGTCCCTGGTAGGCTGCCCTGTCAGTGCTGGGAATGGGTCCTCCAGGCCTCTGGCAAGCACCTGCCCTTAACAGGACTTCCCGCTGATGAACACATTCTCTGTTGCTTTTCAGGGGTCCTATGGGTACCTTTCTACCCTTATTTCCATCTGTTTCTCCTTTAGAATATGTTTGGGTTTTTTGGTTTGGGGTCAGTCCCAGTGGTGCTCAGGGCTTATTCTGACTGTGCTCAGGGGTCATTTCTGGTGGAGTTCAGGGCTCTGTGGGTAGAGGATGTAATCTGGGTCAGTCACTGTGCCCTACACACAGTCCTCTCTTTGCATCTAAACTGTTGCTCACAGAGAGTCTGGATGGCTTGCTGGACTCAGCCATCAGATATCAGGCACTCTAACCTTTGCAGTGGGTTTCATACACTCAGGGGCAGTGTCAACTGTGGTGGTGCTCGAGCCTCTAGCCACAGCGTGTGTTTGCCAAACTATCACCCAAGTCCAGGCTCCTGAGGCCTTCACGGGGGTTCTGGACAGAATCCCTCCATGGCATTGTCCTGAAAGCTAACTCCCTGGCAGGTCAGATCCAGAACGCCTGAAATCCCCAAAGTCATAATACCAAAAGGTCCAAGTACAAATGATCCCGTTTTGGAAAAAGATCATTGACAGAACTCTTAGCATGAGTTCATTTACATTTGTGTAAGGGATTTATTTGAGAAACAGAAGCACACACCAGACCCTTCAGAGCCACTAGACCCACCAGAGGAAGGACTGGTCAAAAGCACGATCTTCCAAATGCCAACGTGTAGCAAAGCACTGCCCATCTGACCCTGCCCCTTCCCCTGCCCTGACCCCACCCCTTCTCTTGCACTGCCTGTCCTCACCCCGCACATTTCCCTGCTCTCTACACTGTCTTGCTCCTTTCCCTGCACTGTCTTATACTGTCCTGAACTGATCCTGCCCTTCCCCTGGACTGTCCTGACGCTTCCTGTGTCAGGAACACTTCCCCTAACACTGCCTGTGCACATCCCAGGCTCTCTGTCCTAGCCCCAGGGACAGTTCCTACCTGCCCCCACAGACTCTGCCCACCTGTGTCCAGGTTAGCTGACCTCAGAAGTGGGGACAGAGCTAGAGTGGGGCTGGTTCGTCCCTCCCCATGGCAAGCACTGGCTTTCCAGGAGCTCCTACCTGGCCCAGAGCGGGCACCAGGAACCATAGCACAGACATCAGGAGTTTGCCTCTCAGAACAGGCACAATCAGGTGCCAGCAGCAGGGGCCCGAGCTGGCAGCAGGGAGCCACGTGTGCCGAGCCCCAACCAGGAAGGGAAGCGGGGCAGAGACAGCACAGACCAGGAAGAAAACATCCCCGTGGGGGTATAAAGGCTGCAGCCAGGGACAGCTTCACTCACACACACTCCCACACTCACACCGGTCATCCACACACCCTCACACTCTCCCTCCACCCGCCATGGCCGCCTCTTCCCTGTCTGTCTGCTCCAGCGACCTCAGCTACAACACCCGGGCCTGCCTGCCCACTGCCTGTGACTCCTTTACGGAATCCTCCTGGCAGGGGGATGACTGCCCCGAGAACTGCTGTGCCCCCAGCTGCTGTGCCCCCAGCTGCTGCGCCCCCAGTTGCTGCGCCCCCAGCTGCTGCGCCCCGGCCCCCAGCATGACCCTCGTCTGCAGCCCCATGAGCTGCGGGTCCTGCTCCCCTTCCTGCTGCTCCTGCTCCCCCTGCCAGTCGGCCTGCTGCACCCCCATGTGCTGTAAGCCCGTGTGCTGCACCCCCATGTGCTGCACCCCTGTCTGCTGTAAGCCCATGTGCTGCACCCCCATGTGCTGCACCCCCGTCTGCTGTAAGCCCATGTGCTGCACCCCCGTCTGCTGTAAGCCCATGTGCTGCACCCCCATGTGCTGCAGCCCCATGTGCTGTGGGGGCTCCCCGTGCCAGGCCCCCTCATGCTCCCCCTGCTGCAAACCCTCGTCCAGCGTCTCCCTCATCTGCCAGCCTGCGTGCCCGCCCGCCTGCCCGCCTAGCTGCTGCCAGGGGTCCAGCATGTCCCTGCTGTGCCAGCCCGCCTGCAAGCCCTCATGCTGCTGCTGATGCCGCCTGTCGGGCCTCCAAGGCCAAGTCTGCCTCCTGCCTGACATCCCGGGGACTCTGAGTTTAGTGGGGTCTCCTTCCCCAGAGACACCGCCCCCTCAGGCTGGTTCAGCCCTCCCTGCATTTGGCCCCTGGCAACCTGGTACTCCCCATGTCTGCTGCACCCCTGTCTGCTGCATATAGGTGCCCACAGGTCAAAAAGCGTCCTCCTGTCCCTGTGAGTGTGGGCGGTGACTTGCAAGTCCTGAGTGACTGACATGGGCATTAACCAATAAAGCTGCTGTCATCCCTGTGACTGGTTCTGAGTGTGGATCTTTGTAGCCACTTCCCAGCTCTCCTGGCCTAGAAGCCTCATCCACATCTGGTCTGAGCTGTCCCTGGGCTAGAAGCCTCATCCACATATGGTCTGAGCTGTCCCTGACACAAGGCCAGCTGGCCAGCCTTGCTCTGCGGGTTCAGGGGGCACTGTCCTCGTGGCCTCCATGGAACTAGTGGGGCACATTGCTTGGACCTTGCCCGTGGGAGTTTTGAGTCTTGGCTAGGCACCCTGCTTATGGAATGAGCATCCCTTTGGGGCCAGCTGTCCAGCGGGCACCCTGGCACTAGACAGAGACACAGAGAACTACGTCAGCATGCCCGCCAGGCGGAGTGGCCCCTCATCTGTGTGTGGAGGGAGAGGCGTACACCAGATAGGGCGTCTGGGGGCACTGGACATCGGGACACTGTGGGCAGCTGCCAACCCTCCCACTGCATCAAATCCACTGATTGACATGCACCGCGTCCAGCAAGGCCAGGAGCAGCCATCTCTGGGCACCAACGACCGTGGCTGCACAGAACCCCACGGCCCAAAGCAGGTCCAAAGGCAGATCCTCTGCAGTCAGAGCTCCAAGGGGCCTCAGGACTCACTTGCTAGTGCAGAGGCTGGATACCCTGTCAGGCCCCGCCCCTTTTGCCCCACACCTCAGGCCCTGCCCTTCCTGCCTCCAGCCCGCCCCTCCCTCCCTGCCCACCCTCTGTCCCTGCAGTCCAACCCCACCCAAGACAGACCCCCCCAGCAGCACCAAGGACCCTGTTCGCTGCGCCCTGGTTTCCATGCTGCCTGAAGGCCCGCG